GATACACGATTATCTAATAAATTCTTTCAATATGAATTTATTTATTTTTTTATTTACGAATCTTCATATATTATAATTTATAAAATATACTCTAAAAAAATGTAAATTAAGAACTATGCTCTAAACTCTAAAAAATCATTAAATATGCAAAAATATGCACCATAAACTTTTGATATGTTTTTCGTAGTGTCTTAGAATGAATTTCTAGCTCACTTAGCAATAAATTTAAAGGTCCAAAAATAACATGCAAATGCAACAACTTCCGAGCCCTACAGTAATAAATAACAATAATTTCAAATTTGTATGTGTTCTATGTAGAAGTGTAGGACTTACGAAATTTTTGTTTTTTATTTCGTTTTTCGATTGAAATATGTGTTTCCGAGATTCTACTTTCAAATGTACATACACTAGCTGGACACTTCTAATGATCGATTTCAATTTTTAATAAGTTGGTAAATTATTCTGGTCTGAAAATATCTAAACTTAGCACACATACATATGTAAATTATGTCACATTTATTTTATTCGCCTAGGTTAATTTTAACCGGGTTTAATTAATAATACCATTAAAATAATACATGACCTATTTGTTCTGAATGTTGTCCTTATTAGAAAATATATAAATTCACCATCAACTTCATCAGAATAAATATATATTATATAATATATCTCTTCATAATAAGGTATCGTCTATCTAAATAGCATATCCAGCATCTATATTCCCTACACGGAAACACATATGGATACGGGCGATACGGCATTTCTATCTACACTAAACACACGCCTTTTATCCGACATAAACGGAGAGAGAAACGACGATTGTCAGTCACACAGTAGCCTCCGATAGATAAAGAAACTAACATTAAACAATTTATAGTGAATAGAGATGCAATGATGTTGCGGTTAACAATGTTATCAGTAACTGTTGTTTTTTTCTAAACAGATTTGTATATAATGCCGAATGCCCGCATCCATAGACCATAAGTTTAGTAGTAATCACTAATCAGTAATCAATGACGAACACCTATATACATTTATATTTATTATTTTCATGTTATATACCTAAAATACTAATATTTATAATTAGGGCCCGAAATTATATGTTCTAAAAGAGTACGAAATTTGTATGCATTTATGCACTGATTTTCATTAAAATATGCACTTAATATATGCAAAAATAGGTTAACCAAAATGCATGTTAATTAAATTTATTTAGTTTATAAATTTAGTATATTTTTATAACATTTCTCTGTTACTTACAGAGATACAGTTGACTACTAAAGACTTGGATAAATTTTCAAATAAAAATGGACGTCGGTTTTCAGTAAATATATTCTTGAACCGAGAAAAACTTCACATTCACGGGATTTAAGTAGGATATGGCGTTAAGTATTATCATTAATAACTTAACACTATTTTTTTGTGGTAAATATGCATTATATTTTAGAAAAATGCTAAAATATGCATACTAATTTAAAATGGTCCAAATATGCAAAATCATTCAATTTTGCATACCAATACATTAGCTTAAGATTCATATTTGTTGCTTATCTAGCTACTTTTTGGATTATTAAAACAAGACATGCAAATGCATACAAATCCGGGCCCTATTTATAATACATTATTATCTAATGGTAAAATTGAATTGATTTGTTCTCATTATCTATTTTTAGAACATTATAATAAACAATGGCTGATAATACACTATGCACAGAGAATCTCGATGTAAGTATACCTGTGTACGGTGTACCTAGCTACTAAAAATAAACTATTAGATAAGCATTTCAGGTAAAAGTCATCGACAAATTGATTGATTTGATGCCTTTAAAGTATATTATCGACTGTGTCTTAACTTTGCATATTAAAATATTGTATAAATTAGGCCGGTAGGTAGGTAAAAAAAAATTGATAGAAAAAATAACTTAAACAAAATAGTATAATTATATAGGTACGAAAAACCACTGTTTGTCATGATTATTGTAAAGTAATTAATTACTATTTAATATTTATTAGGTAAATTCTTGGTTATATTAAGTAAATATTTTACTGTTGTTTCTTAGTGGTTGAGTAGTTGAGTTTTTCAAAAATCAAAATAATTTAATCATATTAATTTTTAATATATTTGTTTTAAGTATCATTTATTATTTAAGTAATTTATAATAGTATTTTGTAATCTTGTATACTGTTAGTCTTATATGTTACTTGTTACTTGTTAGTGTAAATGTTATAATGAGTAATAATTAATAATACTAATGAGCATTGGCACAAATAGGGGGGAGGGGACTTGGTCCCCCAAATTTCGACCAAGTACCCCCAGTTAAAAATCTAGTAATTAGTACTATCATTTTACTCATATTATAGCCTATGGGGAGTGGAGCTTGAACCCCCCCCCCCCCCCAAATGTAGACGATTTGCACCTATGCAAAATATTCCTAATGAGTTTAGGAAGAGCCGAGAGGTACACGTAGGTACAGTTCTTAACAATTAACTACCTATAGGTTAGGTTAGGTTAGGTTACTGTTATTTGTGGAGCATTTGCATTTTGCACCATTCCATTAATTTCAACGTGAAATGCTCATTTGTATTATTAAAATTAAAATAAGAAGCAAAAGTTATTTTTAACATCGAGATAGATGAACCGGAAACCGTCAACAAATATATAGGTAGATACCTATTTAAAAGTGACATAAGACACATTAGAATTTATTGCTCCTGTACATTATAATTTTTTTGAAAAGAAAATAAGTATAAGTGTAGAATCATCAGAAATTATTATTTATAACTAGGGTTCGGATTTAAATACAATTTGCATTTTTTAAAACTTTTTTGATTTTTAGAATATTTTTTGTCGTTTTTATTTCAATTGTATGGTTTGAAGAAATTATTTTAATTTTATATAAATAGCTTAAATTCCTTATAAAAAAAATTTGTTTTTCATATTTTTAATTCTATTACGTATTATGTTCACTTCTATGACTTATGACTTCAGTTATACAAAATAACATTTGCCAATAACCGTAGAAGCTTTTTATTTGAAAATATTAAATAGCATCTGATATCCAATGCTATAATGAAACTCAAAATACAACGAATATATAAATATAAATAAACCTACCTATCTAAATTGTATTTTGTATTCATTTAAATTGGTTAATTTATCTGGGCATTTTATTAAATGTTGTAATATGCACTAGCATTAAATCGAATTTTTTAAAGGTATTTTTCTTGTTTTATTGCATTTAAATCAACATCCTATATTTAAAACTGAATCTGACATTTATTATACCATTCGATTACTACATCCACGCCTATAGTAGCGAGTATTCACATAATATTGCCTAATAAATTGTACATAATACAAAAATATAGTATTAATATTCTGTAGAAAATAGTAAAATATATTATGAATATTTTGTTCACAATATTACAATAGTAAAATATAATACTATTGATGGGTTAATAGGATAACAACTATGTATAAGTATAGACAGTATAGTTTCGTGCGTAAAATACTAAAATGTAACGTTCTTAATTCATAGAAGTACATATTTTACTTGTTTTTTATTTTATTGTTGTGTGTTGTTTGATAATTTTGTAATATTTACTTCTACTTCTTATCGAGCAGTTTTAATATCGGCCTATATTTTTCATCAATTTTGACTCGGTTACTCAGTTATAGAGCACCTAATAGAAAATAAGTAAATCATTAAATTGTGAACTTAGGATAAATTATTAAATTACATAATCAACACATTGAATCTGAAGTTGTTTCCTGAAAAAATTAAAGAAGGATAAAGGATGCAACCTATGGTTATTAAAACTTTGGTACCTATTTTTAAGTTTTTACATTTTTTGATAATGAAATGGCAAGGGCCGAGTAAAATTTAAATTTTCCGGCCAAATAGTTGTTCCAGTCCGCCCCTGATTATTATATCGGCATCTATCCTTCACGCTGTGGATTTATTATCTAATTTAATGGGTAATGATTGATATGCCAAAGCTACGTATCCATACATACAGACTACAGTCGATATTCGAGTATGGTCATGGTGATTGGTATTATTTTATTTAAATATGAGTTGGGCCGAGCACGGGATCTCTCAGTTGCGAAGTGCAACTATTGACAATCATACAGAATGATATACGTCTTGGTCCACGGCAAATGGTTGCAATAAATAATTATTACGGATATTGAGGTAGGTATCTATAATAATACACTATATAAGTGTTGTTGTCATATAGAAATCTCTGATGTACTGCTATACTGATGTGTGGTACGGTGTTCACAGTCGCGGACTAAGATAATAAGATATAAGTTGGATAGAAATATATTGCCAATGGCCATAGTTGCCGGGCTTTAGATCAATAAAATATAATATGCAGAAATAAATATTTTATAAATCATAATAATATTTCAAATTGTCAATGCATAAAGATAAACGAAATAATATTCATCAATAAACTAATTGTATACTATAAACGCATTTATGTTTATTGCCAATGCCCAATGTTCATTGACGATGATGATAAATGATAATAATAATAATAATAATAATAATAATAATAATAGTAATCATAATAATAACGATAATATTCAAAAGAAAAGAGAGTGGAAAAAAATAACGGCGGGCGGCGGCCCACGGCTTCTTCAAAAGCCCCTCTTCCAACGACCTATGATCATCGCCGTCATCGGCTACGACGACCGCCGCGCTACGCGCTCAGCGCTGACGCCGACAACGGTGAACCGCCGTCATCAGCTGTTCAACGGAATGCCATCTGTCCCTGAGTAGGGCCGTGGTGCGGGGAGTTTTCGGTGGCGCGCGGCCCACTCCTCACCTTTCCACATCTGCCGACGACGCGCAGACAAATCCGTATCCGCGTCACGAAACTCTCGTACACAACTTCAACGTAATGTAATAACATTATACGCGAACCCGCGCGCATATACATTGTATTATATATATATATATATATATATACATATGCGTGTGTTGTGATTTTTCTTCTTCTTTTATTTCGTTTTTTGCGCTCTTTTTCTTTTTTTTTCTCGTCCCCTATTCCGCCGGACCGGAGAGACATGCGGATCGCATAGTCGTTTCACCACGATAGAGTATTGTTTTTTTTTTTTTTTTTACAACCGCATCGCCAGCAATACTGTCCGCGCCACCCGACGACGACAATTAATACACAACGATACCTGTAGTAGTTGTTGTAATAATAATAATTATTATTATTATTTGATATTATCTCGCGACGCCTGCCGCTGCAGCCGTGTTGTTCGACACACGCAGACGTCCTCCGAACGGTTCGCTCCCGAGTCTCGCACCACAGTACAACAGCATCATCTGATCGTCGCCGTCGTCATCGTTATTTGTTAGATTAATACTATAACAACGGTCCTCTGTCGGTCGTCGTACGGCCAATCGTTTCGCCGTATAAACAACACACAACTGTAGTGTTATCACCGCCGCCGTCGATACCGTTTTTTTAGCAGTCGCCGTAAATTGTCTTAGCACATTATTCGATCACGCCCGGCTCCTTACAAGATATACGACCAACATGTCCGACGATAAAGTAATTGGTCACCGGCTACAGAGTTTCAAGCATAGAGGCAAAACCGAAATTGTAAGTACACTGTTCGATGCCTGCAGCAAATAACTGCAGTTGTTACTAAATTCTTAAAATTGTTCAGTAGATGCAAATTATAGTTTGAATTACAATTATTGTTCTGATATTTCTTTCTGGTCTTGAACAACCTATTATTTCTTTTCAAAACATGGGTATACACCAACTTTGCTGTTCTTGATTGTATCTAAGAATTTAGTCCTTCAAAAACATCAATTTTGTTGAGTGGTTGCATATTATGTAGAATGTAGAAACTATGTTAATTGTTAAATGTGTTAAAATATGGTGTTCCACAATTTGTGTATGTAAGTAGTAAGCTGGTCCAGACGGACACACTTTATACAGCTTATTCAGGTTTGACATTTATTGCCTCTGCTACTATGGCTATGAACTAGTGGTAGATTTTGGTAAGTGTATATTTACCACCTGCCTACGATTAAGTTTACGCTACCGGTTATTGGCTACAAATTTGTAGAAATGAAATATATTACAAGTCTATATTCTACTCTTTCCTGTTTTATCTTTTAGATAGAAACCATTTTATAGCTTACAGCCTAAAACATTTCTAGAATCTAAGGAAATGTATTTAAATAGACTTGGTATCTAAAAATTTAGTAGAATGCATCTTGGGACTTTTTTGCAGAAATCACCATGTAAAATGCTACTTTTGTTGTGATGAAATTAAATAATTATCTGACACTAATTGGTGTAATTTGCATCATGTATTTCAATATACTGCAACTCGGTCAACATCATAATTAAATAACCGTCTTTAGTTGTTTTATTTTTTAGCTTTCTCTATAAATATTGTTTTATATTCCTGCAAATTGTTTCTCGATTATTCTATTTGTATCCAATTAGCACAATACAAAAATTTTGATTTTTTTTGCGTATGTAGGTATACGAATACGATCACTAATTGATCAGTGTTCTTAAAATATAATTAGGTAGTAGGTACCTCAACATTGGTAAAACTTAAACTATACCTGTTTGTAAATAAGAATTAAAAATTAAAGATATTGTAGAATCTTTACCCAACAAAACTGAAATTAAGCATGTCTCATCAAAATATTTACCTACCTAAAAATTTCTTTTTAAAAAAACACCTTTACACATTCCAAGCTTATGGTTCACTGACTGGTTTTATTGTTATAACACCTATGAACAAAATTTTAGAGGATATTAAAACCTGGTTCTGTAAGAAGCCCGGTTCCTAAAGTTGTAAGTCCTAAAAATGACTAAAAAAGTATAAAACAGGTATTATTAAACATGAAATTCTGCAAAGTTTTAAAGATAACATCAAAAATCAAACTTCTTACAAAACCAGATTTGAATTAAAATAAAATAAAATATTTGAAATAGTTTTGTTTATAGATGTTTTTTTAATAAAACGTGCAAAGTATGTCTTACCTACAAGAAAATTACAAAAAATTACGGTCGACTAGTGCTACAACACAACAATGCTATCCCTTGAGCGTTGTATGTGAACATGTTTCCATGAGACAACCTCTTTATTTGATAAATTGTTTTTTGTACTTAGGTACCTATATAAATTATTGAGTTGGTTGTAATATTATTGGCTATTATATTTTTACTTTAACCATGTATTGTTAATAATATTATTCTGGTAAATCTACGTTTTCAAATAATTACAAATAGTTGATTTTGATATGTTGATATATGGGTATAAAATTATAAAATATACTTTTCATGTATTTACTGGTTCTAAAGATTCTTTAAAATACATTTAAATATATACCAAATAAATAAAACAACTGAAAAACATACAAATTTGAAATACAACAAATGATCCACAAACCAGTGTACCTCTATTGTATATAAAAAAAATTGATTTGAACATTTTTAGAATTACCTATACTTTCTCTAGCGAGAGAACACGTTATAGCCTGATGAAAATTGTTTTTTCTGCACTGAATCAGTGTGTTCTCTAGACAAATTATAGGTAAAAAACTGAATATTGTTTACTGCATTACTAAGATCTAATTGAAAAACAATTATATGACAAATATTTTCCTTTCAATTAATTATTCTTATATTTGCCCTTGCATCATTAACATTGAAGTATAATTAAAATAAAACAATTAAACAATTTTTTTTTTATTACCATTGCGATAACATGAAAACTTTAAAAAAAAATTGAAACCTAATGGCTTCTTATAAGGAAATAGTACACATTAATTGGACAGGAATTGTGGGCACAATATAAATATCTTATAAACCAGTGATTTCAAAGGTTAGTTCGTAATAGGTTAAAATAATCATCTGTTAAAATCAACATTTGATAACAGTGTTATCATTTTTCTTTTGTTTATTAAACAGACCATTAAAGTGAATATTAGATACCTATCTATATAATTAAAGGTTTTAGTACAGTGTTCCATTAACAACCATTAAACATTTAATGATACTATATGAGCTAATCATCTCTTTACATGATTTAGTGGTAATGATAGATCCATTTAATTTGAGTGTATCATTAAATTATTATATTTGTCTGCCACTTATCATACGTATGGTATTTATGAATTATTTTCTACATAAAATACCACTTAGTGTTAGTTAAGTTAGGTACAATTCCTCCAAATGTATCTATTAAATTACTTAGTAATTGTTTTGAGTATGGTTATACCCAAAAGAAAAAGCAATGTACAATCATTCCATTTCGTGGGTAATAATTTGCATTTGTATTATTTAAAATTTTTTGAAAAACCAAAGGTTTTATAAGTAAGTTCCTGTGAATTAAAAATATCTAGCTAATATCTCTGTAAATGTTAGAACATATTATTAAACCATTTTAATCAAAGATACAACAGGTGCCTATATTTTTTTTTGAAATTAAAATGGATTAATAGATTAAATTTGAAATTCAGATGTTTAAAATGTGAATTAAACAAAGTTTGAAATTAAGTTCTAGAAGACTGAAGTTTAACCCATCTTTAGTAATAATAAATATTATTAGTATGAATTTTTTTGACAATGACACAATACATTATGACAGATCCAATATGGAACTAATGCAAAAAGTGAAGCACATTTTTCTGTTAAAATATTGTAATAAGTCAGTCATTGCGATTTTTATTGAAATAAATTATACCTAATTTACCTAATAAGAACCTATAACTAATGAAGATGAAAAAATCCTCTATATTAATGTATTTCAAATTAAATGTATCTATTAAAACTATCTATGTATTACAACTATTACTCTAAATTATAGGAAAGGCGAAGAATTAGAAGTGAGGCAACCGTTGGGCTAAGAAAAAACAAGCAAGAACAAGAGTTAATGAAACGTAGAAATGTTGGTGAAGTAATGAATGGTAAATAATTTAATTAATATTGCATTCCAATAATGTGTTAAGTACTTTTATTAAATTGCAGATGATATAGACTTGGAAAAACCTTTAACTGAACATGATCTACGCGCTTTAGTTGAAGAAGCTGGTAGTACTATTCCAGATGTACAACTTAAAGCCATACAGTCTGCAAGGAAATTGCTTTCATCTGATCGCAATCCACCAATAGATGAGCTTATAAACAGTGAAATACTTCCTATTTTGGTTCGTTGTTTAGACGAGCATAATAAGTAAGCAGATTGGTTTTGCATTTGTAATCTTTAGACTGCTGATCATATAAAAAAAAAACTCCATTTTATGTATCCAAATAAGTAGCATTAAAGCCTAAAATGAGCATAGAGAATGTTAAGATATGCATAAAAAAGACACTTGGTCATTTGATTTTGATTTATGTATTTATGTTTATTCAAAAATACTTAAGGTATAAATTAGTAACTACCAACCATTATTAGTTATTAAAATTATATTTTATTGTATAAAATTGATAATAATTTAAAAGAAGTAATATTTCTTAAATATGACCTGTACTATAGCTCTCATACCATCATATATCTGGTGTTTGTTAGAATTGTGAACTTGGTAGCATTTGAATTGAGTCACAATACCAAAAAACATAGATAATAATTGTTTCATAAGAAAAAAATAATGTGTATAACAATTGAGTTTCCCATTCTAGAGGTGTTGGGCCAAATTTAAGGTAGGAACATTGAATCAATACTAATATAACTGTCCAGTAAATAATCTAAAAATGTATCTATGTATTATAATTATCTGATAGTTTAAAATGTTCCTAACTATGAGCTTTCATTTTTATATGATTTGGATCACAGTTAATTTTGAACCTTATGCCACTTTTTTTTACCTAAATGAATCGACATTCTTTATGGATAGTAGTTGGCCTAATTATTTTGAGGACACTCCCCCGCATGCTGTGTTTCTGTTTTACAAACGCATAATATAGCAAACTGTATGTTCTGAATGTTCAAGTTAACTCTGTTATGTTTAATCTAAAAGTGAATTGACCTATTATCAAGTTTAGAACTAAGAATACTCCCTAGTTAAAAATTTAAAAATACTTGTTACTCTATTTAAAATTTAAGTGTACAAAGAAATCTATGGGATTCACAAGAAAACCTTCTTACTTATAAATGTAATAATAATAAGTCAATTTGCTTCAACATTAATCATAACAGAGTTAAATGGATTCGGAATGTACATGTTATACGTTTATAAGATGGAGACAATGTATGCGGGTACAGTGTCTTCTGAACTGCTGAATGTGTCATCATTTTAAAATCAACATAAACCATAGTCGGTAATAGGTATAAATGTATTTGTTTAGATTCTTTAATTAAAAATTCAAATGCATGTTTGTATGAACTTTTAAATTTATTAAATAGTAAAAATAAAGCATATGACACATATGTATTTGTATTGTTGATTCCATAAATTGTAAAAACTGTAAAAATTCTGTTAAGTTTCATACAAGCTCCTACATAAATACAATCTAGTTAACTCAAACATGTCTAGTTGATGATACACAACAAAAATAAAATATTATTTTAACTTCAATAACCATTAAAAATAGTTCATTCTTGTTTGTCTTAGTTTATCTAACTCTCAGTTTTAAAAATATTATGGACGTTATTAGTGTAGGTAGATTAGTGTGGTAATAAAGACGACTTGGGATATGTATGATAGTTGCATGTAACTGGTTCTTGTGATGAAAGCCTCAGCAATACTTAAGATGTTTAGTCAACATTTTTGATAAGTAATCAAATGATCTGTGTTATTTTTTCTGAAATATGTCAAGTTTTCCAGTAGCTGCTATCAAGGATTAATTCATAACTAGCAACAAATAATATATTATTAGCAAATTCCTTGTCTTAGACTTGTAATCATTGAGTTATATTTTTGAAAAATGTTGTAAAAACCAGCGCTTTAAATTAATTTTTATCCGTTGCTTTGGGTTTTTAAGAATGTGCCTGAGTTACGTCCCCATTTATAATAAATATACACATCATCAAAACAGTCTAGTTCGGGATTTAATTTCCTGTTGGCTTTAAACATTAAAGACCAGCAACTGATGAAAACATTTTCCAATTTTAGATTTATTTTTAAAACCAAACACACATTTTAAACCTTAACTAAATCATGTAATAATTAAAATATTATTTTGTAATAGTGTAAAAATAAATTTTTATTTGATTCATATAATTTGTTTGTAACTGTTGTTTAGCCCAACATTACAATTTGAAGCAGCGTGGGCACTAACCAATATTGCTAGTGGTACATCTATGCAAACTCAGGCAGTTGTCTCAGCAGGAGCTGTTCCATTGTTTTTAAATTTATTAAATTCATCCAATCAGACAGTTTGTGAACAAGCAGTTTGGGCATTAGGTATTAAACTATTGTTATTTATTCATTTTTTCTTAGCTAAATCTAATATAAATATATGTCATATAATTTTAGGAAATATTATTGGTGATGGTCCGCAATTACGTGACTATGTTATAAGTTTGAGTGTTGTGCCAAGATTACTTCTCTTTATCAACCCGGCTATACCAATAACATTTATGCGAAATGTCACATGGGTTATAGTTAACTTGTGCCGAAACAAAGATCCACCACCAGCACAACATGTTATAGATGAACTTCTTCCTGCTCTTAATTATTTGATTAATAATAAAGATATTAATGTAATTATAGTTCACTTTTAAAATTATTTTCACTAATATGACACTTAATTATTAATTAATTTTTTTTTAAGATTCTTGTTGATACTGTTTGGGCAATCAGCTATTTGACAGATGGAGGAAACGATCAAATTCAGAGAGTTATTGATAGTGGTATAGTACCTAATCTAATACCTCTACTGTCACACAAAGAAGTGAAGGTTTGTATAATTACATGTTAATTTTGAGCTAGACTTGAATGAGAAAATTGTTATATGTTTGAAAAAAAAATGTTTAGGTACAAACAGCAGCTTTACGTGCAATAGGAAATATTGTTACTGGAACTGATGAACAAACACAAATAGTTCTTGATGCTGGTGCATTATGTCATTTTCCAGCTTTACTTTCTCATACAAAAGAAAAAATATGCAAGGTATATACTTAAGTATTCTTTGTTATTAGTAGTTTGGAAAAACTGTTTGTTTCTCTTTTTATATCTCATAAATAAAAAAAGATTATGTGCTGTACCAATAATCATGAATTTAGAAGGAAATAGCTTTGTAATTGAAAAAAAGATGAACACAGAAATTCAAAATCTTTAAGTGTTTTGTTTATTGAAACCACAAATATTTTCTTGGTGTGAAAAAACTAAAAATAACATTCTGGGTGATGTGAAGGTGCGTGCTTTAAGTCTGGGTAATCACCCATGGGTATGTTAATTTTAGTGCGTTTTTGTTGTGCCTATGACGTGTAATTGTACAGTATATATAATATGCAGTATGTCTCCCTCGGTTATTATTGAGATTATAAACCCTTGTATTAATATGTAGAATCACAAGCCCACTCTGTAATTTGATGTAAATTTCTTTCTGTTTAATTAATATTATATACAGTGAGTTCCGCTTAATGTGATCACTGGTTTATAGAATCAACCGTTTATTAGAATCAAAAATGAAAATCCCAAACCAAATTGTATGTTACTAATGTTAAATTGACCTTTTATTAGAATCATTGAGTACCGGATAATTAAATCACTTTTATGAATAATCTTAAAGTTTGTATGGTATTTCAAACTGATTAATTTATAAAACCTATTTTATTTTTGAACTTATTAGTATGACAATATATCGTTGTACGTTATTATGTTATTCAATTATCTTTGTGCCTCGTGAACTTGTGTCATTTACTATGTATGTCACATTAAATATGTAATTGTACAAAAATATTGAATCATGAAAAAAATGCTGTAAATGTTTTATAGAATCAACCCGATTAATAGAATCTAAGTGACCAGCACCAAAGTGATCACATTAAGCGGAACCCACTGTATTTGTATATTATACCCTAGTTATAACTTATAAAATGTGGTAGTGGCAATGCTATGATTTTTGAAATTTTTTGTTCTTTTGTTAATTATAAACATATTAAATGTTTTGCATAATACATACAAACTATAACTCTTATTTTAATTAATTAATATGTATACATTATGATAGTATATGGGGTAAATAGGTAAATAATAGATTATTAAATTATTTTTGTATTTAAACATACTTAAATATCGTTATTTAGTTATTATTACAGTAAACTTAATAAATGTTATCAAGGCATAAGAGAAACTTTCCAAGCTATTGATATTCTGTAGTACAATTGACTATAGGGGTCATAAATACAACGTTCATGTTCATTCCCATATTATAATTACAAATGGCTTATCCATTATTTAATGTCTATGGCTTTATCGAACCCGAGTGGTAATAAATAGCCAATTTTGTAAACAAAAATTATGCATTGATAAGTTGGAAAACAAACAACCGACTTGTGGTGGGGAGGGGGGCAGGGTAGTTACCCCTATACCGCTCCCCCTTTATATATGCTATTGACATGTGGCATCATAAGCCTAGGTTGAAGTTATATTTTAAATTGTTTGAAATATCAGAGCATTAATAAGCAACATTTTTTTTGTAGGAAGCTGTTTGGTTCCTCTCAAATGTTACTGCTGGAAATCAAGTTCAAGTACAAGCTGTCATAGACGCTGGTCTAATACCAAAAATTATAACGCATCTATCAAAGGTAAAAAAAAGTTTCTAATATAATCTTGTTTATTTTATATTATACATTGTATTTTTCAATAATTGTAGAGTGAATTCCAAACACAAAAAGAAGCAGCTTGGGCAATTACTAATTTAACTATCAGTGGAAATAGTCAACAAGTAGATTGTGTTATAAGTGCAGGTGTTGTTGCTCCCCTTTGTGCTCTGTTGTCTTGTCAAGATAGTCAAGTTATTCAAGTTGTTTTAGACGGCTTGCAAAATATGCTTAAAATTGCTGGTCCTGATGTTGACGCCTTAGCTAATTTGATTGAAGAATGTGAAGGTAACTTCTTATTTTTACATTTCATTGCTTATAAGTTAATTATTAATTTTAATGTATTATTTTTTAATTTTAACAGGCCTTGATAAAATTGAACAACTTCAAAATCATGAAAGTGTTGAAATTTACAAAGTTGCATTTGATATCATTGAGAGATATTTCTCAGAGGTAATATATTATGTTCCATGTATTGATAATTTTTACACTTTTTTATTTTATTTTAGGAATCGGCTTCACCTACCCAACCTCCGTCATGCTTCGAATTCAATCCGGCTACTACAAACACTCAGTTTAAATTTTAGTTTTTTTTTTTTTAACAATTATTATTTTTTTTATACGTAATATTGAGTTAGCGCGACTACTTGGAACGATAAAATATTATACCTGTGATTTTTATAATCATTCGCGTTGCTTTAAATTCAATTTTGAATCAATTCATACTAATTCAATTTAAAATTATTTTTCCAAATCCACTTTCAAATTGATAGTGAATCAATTTGGTAATTAAATCTTGGCCAAAACTGAAAGAAGAAGAAGGGAGAAATTGAGCTTTTATTGGAAATAAAATGTTAAACATATTAGCAAATATATAAAAATATTTTTTTCAATATTAAATTGTATGCATTGTATGGTTAATGAATTATTAATCAAAATTTGTTGATACAATTAACGTTGGCCATTTTATTCTAGTTTTGAGTATTTCATGCATCTAGATAGATCAGTTTATTTTCATAGTAAAATATGTTTGATGTTCTTTTGGCTCCAATGAAGCTAATAATAAATTTAAAATAAATTCTGTTGGCATTTTACAATTCATTTGAAATGTTATACATTTTAAAGCATTTTTACTCCACTTATTAAATCTAAGTTAATTTATTTGATTAATTACTTGACATAAAATTATTGTCAAATTTAAATATTAGAGTATGATTAACTGTGAAACCATGTACCATGAAATATTATTTTTATTTAATATTATTTAGTCCAATTGGATGAGGTTTCATGTTTAGAAATAAAAATAAAATCCCTGATAATCCTTTGTAAAATATTTTACTACATTGAGAACAATGCATTTGGTATGTATTAATTCTTTTATTTTAACTGTATTGACATTTTAACATTTTAATTACAATTTCCACCGAGTGTGCATCTAATAGTAAAATCTCATATTGGTGGAAAACTAAATGTACCATAATTAATATAACATCTGGTTTCAATATCTTATACTCTAAAATAATAAATATCAATTATAACTGTTTAACATGTTAAACTCAATTAATTTTTCTATGAACTCAGAAATGTTTTATTTATGATCTTTGAGTGCTTTTAATTTCAATGATATTGGCCATCCAAAAGTTGCAGACTTGTTTGCTACTTTAAATGATAATGTTCTTTTTATATATACATATTTTATTATGTTCAGCTCAATTTCACCCTTTTTTATTGTAAATCTAATATGTTATATCCGTGATAATTTTTGAATGTATTTAGTATTGTTATTATATCTACGTATTATAGAATTTTTTTCATTAAAACATAATTTTACTTCCAGGTCACAATTAATTAATGTAATTCAAAATGTTAAATATAATATTACCAAGCCTATCATTTCTATGCAAATTCGTTAAGTGATAAAAGTTAAAAGTGCTTTGTTTTCACATTTACAATTTTCTGTAAATAAAAAAATACCATGACAATATTGTACGTTGAACTATACTAGTTTACTTATTATAATAATATGAATTTAACGTGCTATGTGTAATAACTTAAAGACATCTTGTACATTGACAATTATTAGGCTGAAGTATTCTTTTTGTTTTTCCTTCGACCATTGAAACTTTGCTCCCAGATGGAAACTTTATGACAAGATCTAATGAACCTTCATTTATTTCAATGTAATTTAAATAATTATTTGTTTCAATCATTATGTTATTATTGATGTTTAACTTGTTATCATTTTTTTTCGAGACTTTACGTTTTTTCTCACACTCTGTAGACTTCTTCAATATTAATTGATGTTTCGTGTTTTTAACACCCTGTAACAAAATTAAATTATTTACATTTAAAAATATTTTTATATTCAGTTAGAACAAATTGAAATTCACCCCATCATTATGGATGGATAGGCTTCGTAACTTTTTCGATAATTTCTTTTTTGGTGGATCCCATGGTATTCTTTCCTCTGGTATATTCGTCTAATTATGAATATAATACAATGTTATAATTAACTTATGTATTGAGATTCTGCATAAAACTATTTTTACCTTGGAAATTGATAAATTTGGATTACATGCAATGCACCTTTCATTTTTTACTTCAGTTTGTACTTTACCGGACTCAGATGATTCTTCAATATCAACAGTTAGTTTATTATTACATTTTGTAAATAAATTTACTCTATGAAAAAACCTAATGAATAAATAAAACTAATTATTATATGCATGTGTATGTAATTGTATTGAACAGTAAAGAATGTTAACTTATTATTTGCAATATGTTACTGTTCTTTGTTTAATTGAGCACTGTTTTGTTCAATCTCAAACATTTTTTTTACCAGTTATTATTCACTTTTAAATAGACATGATAGGTCAGATTAACTATTTTGATATTATGTATGTCTTCATGAATAACTATTTTACCTCATCATGATTTTATGTTCTCTACTGTATAGGAAATAAGATAATTTAAAATGAGATGTGATCATTCTTATCTATTTTGTCATGGCTAAATTACTAATTTTACTTTAAGATAATCTTTTTCCTGGGAACTCAAAACTTGTATGTTGTAAATAATATTGAATGTAAAATATCTCTGATTGATATAAAATATGTACCTAAATCTATATGTTTAAAATATATAGCATCATTATACATTTATACTATACAGTATCAACAAAATAGTCAAATAAGTACCTTATTTAGTATCTAATGTAATGTTTCTATTGAATTATTCTCAGTTGATACAAATATACAATTTTAAATGCAATTGAAGTATTTCCTTCATTTTAAATAGGTAAGTAAAATAAATTATGGAAAGTGAATAACGTTCGGTGTACATTCTAGAGAGTTATTGTAATGAATGTGTTGAATTTGAATTCAATAATCTTAGTGTACAAAAACTGATTTTTAGCGAAGACCGTCTGTCAGCTTATAATATTACTAAATACATTTTGTATTTAAAGTTATTTATTTTACCATTAGGCATTAGTGCTACAATTGGTTCAATTAATTTTTACCGAAAAAATTTCATTGGGTGTATACCGTATACAATACAACGAAATAACAATTCGTTCTCAAAAATATTATTGACATTAATTTGAAAGAAACTAATATTAATCGAAAATTGTATAGTTATGTCTGTAAATAGTTAGTCATGAGTTAAAATATTTTTTAAATCGTATGGTATATTATAGAATTCTTATATTATAAGAATTATATAAACATTCAGTGAATATTTCATGCATCTATTTTAAGTTTTTTTAGGGTGACACCAAAATCTGAAATTGATTTTGCTTAAAAATTTCTGTTTTCATTAATTTTTCTTTATGCTCGTTTTCACTTCGAGCTACATATTTTTGGAATGGATTTTTTTTATGCTGAACAGTTACGTAATAAATCAACGTGCTTACTTTGGTTGTTCGTAGTCCCAACGGTTATCCACACGTCTGGTGTTCATTATTTCGCTCAAGTGTCGCCACAAAATACCATTGTTCATTAATATCTGCGTACACCTCTCTCGTTCCTTTTGGTATTTCTTTGTTTTCAGCACTATGTGCTGCCATTCTTGCGGTGGTGTTGTATCCACCCGCGCGGTGGCTGACTTGAGCTGAAATATTCACGAAACGCATAAAAGAAAATAATTTAAAAGGTTTACCAAAATGTACCTAATTGACCAATTATGTCCCAATTCCCACTAAATCATGTTTAAGGGCCCATTAGCCGTCTAGGTAGGTAGATAGGTAGATATTGACTAATGATTCATATTGATATTTAAAGTTAAGTGATTGACGATTACTTAAAAAAAACCGGGGCCTTATTGGCTCAACTGCATAGGTAAGTTGTAAGTAACTAGGTATACTAATATACCTGACCTAACCCAACATAAGGTACCTATAAATTATTATATAATAATATAATACCTATACAATAAAAAATGAACATCAATATTGTATTGTCGTAGGCGTAAAGTAGCATGATGAATTTATATGGTGGGTAGGGGGGCTGTAGCCTCTTTAGGGATCCGTGGTGGATTAACTCCCCAAATGTCTTAACTAAGTCTCTGGACTGTACTTACATATTTAATTGCTATTTCCACAATTATCCATAGATTTATTCCAATCTTAACATTTTTTTTTTCCTATAATATTATATGGAATTAAATATAAATAAAATAATTTTTAGTTAATATTAAAATTATAAATCTTGTGTGCCTAGGTATTATATAATTTTATGAAGATTTATTGAATATCAATAAATATTTAATTTTTAACTGTCCATCAAATGTATGTAGTTTTGAATCATCGACATTACAAATTTTTTTTTAACAATAGACAAAATGTAAGTGGTATTAAATGGCGTAAAATGTGATGTATGAACGACGTCCTATGAAAAATGTTCTATTTTCTATAGAACTAAAGAATACTTTTTTCCCCGTTTTTCTTATAGAATATCATCAACAATGTTGAAAAATTATTTTCGATGATGTTAAAATAGTCAGTTCTTTTATAGGTTTATTTCTAAATACAGTTTAATAATAGTTTATTATTTGTTAAGTACTTAACATCTATGCCGTACCTATTATATATCTTTACTTGGTACACGTCTATATTTACTTACAAAATTGTACATTGATTTAATAATACATTGTATCATTTTCATTATAGAAAATTAGTTTTGTAGTTCAAAATCGAAAAGTGTAGGTATTTGTATTTCAAATTGTAACTTATTATAATATGGTATTCATGCATCAGTTTAGCCTAATATACAAGGAATGTCAAACATAAAATATTAACTGGGCCAAATATATTGAATAGGTAGCTTACTTTGAAAATAGCCCCACATAAAAAAAATATGTAAAAAAAAAAAATTGTATACATATTTTTAATTCTATTCATTACTTACAATACTATATAATACTTATTCAACTACAGTTTAACAGAATATAAGACAGAAAAGTAACATGATCAATTGTGTAGTGTATACCTTTCACTCACATAATTGTGACACAAGAGGAAAATTGTATAGGTACCTTTTTTTTATGGATTTTTTTTCAATTTATAATTATTCAATATACCTAATTTATAATAATTGTTATCAGTGGGCCGTACAAAAATGAGCCAGGAGCCGGGTGTTTGACATGCCTGGGTTATACTTATACTGTTTAGGGGTACTCACTTTAACTTTGTGCTGATGATATAATCTTTGCTGAAAAGGCTTCACGAATAATTCTTCTTTACGAGTCAACATTTTTCTAAAAAAAAAAATGTGTTTTTTTTTTAATATAGGTATATTAATAAAGTATGGGTATTGATTGAGCTATAATATTAAAAATATCATAATTCTACAGAATTTAAATAATAGAGTCTGTTAAAGTTTATCCTACATCCATGGCATTATTATTGCCTTTATAATAATAGGTGCTAACTTATATGAATATCACTTAGTATGAGTGAATGCCTAGGGATCTAATATCTATATATAATTATTTAATAATAGTAATAAACTAATAACTTTACAGGTACCTACACCCAATAATGTATATGTTAGAAAATAAATACGACGCAGTACCACAATAATTATAATATACAGAGATTGGGTGTACTTTTTAATTTGTTTAAAGAAACCGATTGAAATGCATTTAATCGGAGTAAAAAAGTGTCTACTAGCGTCATTAAAATATTAATTATTATGTTATAATATTATCATAGATTAACACACATGTGTTAATTGTACAATTCTCAAAACGTGTAGACATGTGAGTAAGTTGAATATACCTAATGCGCTACTCCGATTACCGGTCTCGAATATTGCAATACAATTATTATACGCAGATATAGGTAATGGAAATAGTGACAATGATGAAAAGTACCTATTGATGTATGTAGAGGTAGAACCCACCTGGCTGACTGCAGTATACGAGTTCACAGTAGGCAATGCAGATTCACTCCCTGCTTTATTGCTAAATAAAATACCAGAGGCGTTTGTTGGTAGGTAACAACTATTTCGTAAACGTGTCGTAGTTTAGTCGATGTCCCTATGGTAACGCGGTACATACTATTATACATACCTAAATATATATGTACAATCATAATAAAAGTTTATTGCGTATGTATAATGAACTCATATAGTTATATGTATACAATATAAGTTATATACATATACAGCGTAGTATGTTTTAAGAAATAATAATACCTAGAAAAAAGGAATTTTATTTTGTCGTAATGTTTATATTTATTTGGATCTTGAAAATGGGTGATCTGGTGTACTTACACACAGAGAAGGAGGGTTGTTCAACCCCCTCACAAGGTATTTTTCTCTCATTACGTAATTACGTAACAATTAATAAAATACATTAAAATTTTTTTTTATAAATTTATAATGCATAAGAAATCCTAATCTGAACATCTGGTGAAAATTTTAAATACCCACCTATCTAAGGTAGTTCATTTTTGAGTGACACCAAAAAATTTAATAGATTTTGTTAAATACAGGATTCGCTTATAAAAATGTACATTTTTCCTTTATTTTGAAGAAAAGTAGCTAAGTTTTTTGCCAATTTTAACTCTGAAGAGTACCATAGTACCAGAGTACACATTTTATACCAGAAACCACTGCAACAGTTAAAAATCAAACCAATTGTTTTGCTACAGGTCATTCTTAGATCTTGAATACAAAGTTCAACAATACCACTCATTTAAAATGTCAAAGCGATAATAATGAACCTAAAATGTAATACGATTAGGTGTACTACGATTTACGACCAGGTAGGGGGTGACATAAATATTCTGTGAAATTACATATTTTTATTTTCAATACAAAAACAAATTCTGCTAAAGCTTAACTTTTACTTTTGTCTTTTAATTTATTTAACATGTAAAAGTTACAAGTTATATGAATAAAATCGAACGTAACTTAGCATACCTACTTAGTTAAAAATCAGTATTTATCATACAAATTTGTATGATAAAATTATAGGTATGTAATGTGTATAAATCCCGAAAAAAGACCAAGGAAAAAAACACGGAAAAAAGAATAACCAAAAAAAAATAATATGTTCTAATTGATTATGAAAATTTAAAAAAAAGCATTCGTTTAGAATTAGAGTGTAAAGTTATCATTTATTATGTACACATTTAAAAATTTTGGAAATTCAAAATAATATTATAAATTACTATCACAAACGGATCACATACATGCTTATAGTTACACACAACGCGAAATATTTTATAAACCATTTGACATACATTTAAACATAACTTAATTTCTTACAATGGCATTATATTTAAATATTTATAATAAGAACAATAAAATTAACAATTAACAGTAATTTAAAAATAATTAAATATACAAGTTTCCTAAGGGGGATTTGATACCGACCGTTTTTAATAGGAATTCAATAATTTTGTAATATTTTTTTTGATTATTTTTGATATATTTCAAAAAAAATTTTATGGTGTGCATAATAAATGATCACTTTACAAACTAATTACAAATGTATGCATTTTTTTAATTTTCATAATCAATTAAAAATATTTGAAATTTTTAAAAATTGTTCTTTTTTCTGTGTTTTTCTTTTCCTTGGTTTTTTTTCCTAATATCAATATGACAATATGTATACAATGTGTTTATAAGATTTAGAGAACATTGAATACCCTAGCCAGATTATATATTTTAATAAATTCATTTTTTTTACTGGCTAGTCGTTGGGTTGCCATAGAAGTTCAGTACCGACCGGGACATTTACAAAAATAATCTGAACAACATTTTTTTTTTTTTTAATTATACAATTTAGAACCCAGCATAATGTTTATAGACATACCTATATAGAATAATAGCATTGAATTATGAAAAAAATTAAATTAGATGATTCATTTGACCAGGGCCGGCCGTAGGATTTTTGCCGCTCTAGTCAAATCTAATTTACGCGGCTCTATGCAATAGTTAATTTTTTGGAGAGGAGGGGGTTGAATAAAATATGGACATTTATTTTTAACTATAAACCCTTGTTTTATTTTTTAAAAAAAATGTTTTAACTGACCTCAGTTTTCTTTACAAAATATAAAATAATAATGATGCAATTAAAATAATTGTTGGATGTGAAATAGAACAATTAATATTTTTGACCATCGTTACTCATTCGGTATCGTTATCGTAGATCAACAATATGTATTTAATTAAACATTAACAAATATATAATTACACAATTAAAAATATATAATTTTGCGAGCCTTTTCTTGGGCAAAAACATTTTTTAACTCCAGGTTTTCCATTACTTCTTTTCAATAGGAATTGTAGCAAGATCACTTAACCTTTCTTAATTCATAGAAGACCTCAAATAGTTTTTAATTATTTTTAATTTGGGAAAGCTCCGTTCACCAGACGCGACCGACATAGGCATAGTTAAAATAATGCGAAGTGCTACAGCTGCATTTGGCTACGTTCTCGGTAAACGAAGTATCAACAGTACATTATTATTAGTTATTACATATTTATTTTTGTATATTTTGAACAATGAACATACAATTCAGTATACAATATTATATTATAATAATTAAATCACTTTGGTTCATTCGAAATTTGACGCCCTAGGCGGCTGCCTATTTTGCTACCACATTGAGCCGTCCCTGCATTTGACTAATGAAATATTATTTATTTATTTATTTTGAAATATATTTTTCTGACTTTTTCACCTGTTTCAATAGCTCTGGTTTTCCCATAGCATACGTATGAAATTCCGAACAAGTCATTGTTCACAGTTACCTTTAAATAGACTAAAAAATAATTAAACAACATGTTTTTTTTAATATTTAGGTTATTCAATCTTACATCTCATTTTATTGCTTATAAAATATTTAATTACATTACTTTTTCTACATTTGAGCTAAGTATTACTAGAGCCTAAGAATAATTTAATGTGAAATAATATAGTATTTTCATTGATTATAGAATGGATTTATTCCATAATAAATCATATAATTTTTTTTGCAAGACTCTTTTTTTTTAAAATTTTTTTTGGGGGTGGGGCATTGCTCCCATTCCCCCCCCCTCTTGTATCCGAGCCTGGGGCCATGATCATTGAAAATATCCTTTCAACATTAGCGTTACGAGTTTACGACCAGGAATGGCATATAAGTATTGGCACATCAAAATATTAAACTACGTTTTCTTTCCAATATATCAGTTTTTTTTTAAAGAAATGTAATCATTTGTCATGCATGTTTTTATTATTCCAATCTCCATAAAAATTATATTCGTCAATGAAGTTTTTAAGATTATTAGATTAGATATTTCTTCAAAGCAACTATCCGTAATATCCATAGCCTTTTCTTTTAAATAAGTCATTGTCTTTTCAACGAATTGCCATTGCAGCGAAGAAGTAAGGTTGAGATCCATTCATGAAAATACCACAAATTTTTTAAGAGGGTTACTTCTTTGTTGTGAATACTCCCGTGCTGTTTTGTAATAATTATTGACTTCTTCGTCGAGTAATTTTATCGAAATAAAAAGCTGAGCATCATCTTTTATTTAATTATGCTCAATTTTATGAGTATCAGACTTGTTGTGGTAATGTATTGAAGTTCATTGTGACTAACGGAAATAAATATATTGCATATTGTGCAATGTGCCTCAAATTCATTTATAAAAGGGGTTGACGTTTTATGAACGACCATTCCTTTGGTGTAATCATCTGAAAAATGACACTTTCTTTTTGGCATTGTTGACTCATCGTAAATTGTAAAACTAATCACTGGTTATAATGTCATACGAAAATACAAAATCACGATAAACGAGAATACGGACAACACACGACGTTGGTTGGATATGAACTAATGCATGCATATGTTGACAGACACCCGACGGTGTATTATATTACTATATTAGTATTTTTGTATGTTCTATATTTAACTAACCATAATGGCATAATAGCACAGGTCAATTATTATCAGTAAAGATAAGATAAGAGTGTTCGATGTGAATTGATGGTTTTAGAATACAAATATAGTTTTTTTTAAATATAATTTAATATAATTTTTGTAACCGGGACTTTTGGAGGGACTAATAACCAATAGGACGGCCGGGACTAAAGTCATGAACTGGTGACATGTCCTGGTGTACCGGGGCGTATGGCAACCCTAGGCTAGTGTCATGTAAAAATACATTTTCAGATAAATTTAAAATTTTTAACCCTCTCGGTACGTGCATGCATAATTATACAACTTCTATTTTTTTAAATGGCAATCGGTATTCGATATGTTGATAACAAATTCAGATAGGCTGAATTTTTTTAAAGTCATTTCGACCGACTCACCATGGCTCTAAAACAAAAATTGACTAAATAAGAGCCATTTACTTTTTAATAAATAATACATTTTTACTATTCATTAAAATGCATAAGACCATTTATAATTAAACTTTATAAGTTTCAAGTAGGTAACCTTGATTCATGAATAATATTTTTAAATGGCAACAAAATAACTAAAATTATTATTCTTTTTTGGAATATTAAACTTAGTTAACATTTTATTTATTGGACAAACTTCAAATACCTATAAAGAAACTGTGTTTTTATATTTTTTATTACAATATGAAATAGGTACTTATGAGATTACAATGTTTTTAATGTTGAATCCTTAGAGCGCTGGGGATCCAGAAATTTATCGGGGGGGGGGGGGGGATGTAATTAAAATGTAACCAACTGATACTATTCATACTAAATAACATACTTTTTAATATTACCATTCTTTTGGGTTGTGGGATACGTTATTTTCGTTTTAACAATAGGTAACGCTGAATATAACTAGTATTTTTCACACGTCACAATGTAACAAATTTGAATATAATAAGCTCAAGAGGGGGGAGGGGTATTTACACTATCAACCCTCCCCCTTGGATCCACCAAATAAATAATATAATAAAATAGTTAGTAAAATAATTTTATTTAAGACTCTATTGATTTTGACGAATTTTGAAGAATT